TTTTTTTCCATTGTATAATACTTATAATATTTAAATACTCACAGTTTTAATTGAATAACTTTTAAAAAATAATAATTACTGTTTAAGTTCAGTCACATAACAGCGGCCATCAAAAATATATTATCTATGCACTCTTACAGTTCACGGCCAGTTGGATTATAACGAATTTTTATTAAAATAATTTTAAACTTAGTTTTTTTAATTTCTTAAGCACATTCGAATAAAAAATAATGTATAAACCACGGACAAACATTTGTTTTAGGACTGCTAGTAGTCATTCTAAAAACTCAGTTTTTCGTTCTTTAGTACATAAACTACTATTATATACCTTTTATTCAAAACCAAATTTCTTACATATATTAGCTTGTTGAACGACACAAAAGGGCCAATTTCTTTATGCCCAGACCAAAGCAGTAATTTCACGTCTGATTAACTTCAAGAAAGACGAGGCTAAGAATGGTGTTGAAATACCATTTAACAAATACAGAGATACAGTTCTAGCTGCTACAGGAATATCTTTCAACAGTTATTGTAGAATACAGACGATGGCGCGTAAAGTAGAAAGCGGAGTTAGTACTTCCTTTCACATTTTTCTCAAGTAGGTAAAGTGAAAGTAAGTCCAGTTGTTGGATCCATGAGGCCTACAGAATTGGAACAACTCAGGAGCATAATTCATGATTTTCATATCATTGAGGAAGAGCTACCAACTCTAAAATGTAAGTGACTTTTTCGATATTAATGACAATGTATTTTATTGAATTTTATTGTACATGTTGTACAAAAAATGGCAGATTGTGATTTTGATTACAAAGAAGGCATCTTATCACTGAGAAAATTAATAATAGAATAGAATAATTTATTAACCTTCATTACATAAAAAAATACACAAGACAAGTCGTACAATAAGTATATAAATGTAAAATTTAACAACAATAATAATAATAATAATAATAATAATAATAATAATAATAATAATAATAATAATAATAATAATAATAATAATAATAATAATAATAATAATAATAATAATAATAATAATAATAATAATAATAATAATAATAATAATAATAATAATAATAATAATAATAATAATAATAATAATAATAATAATAATAATAATAATAATAATAATAATAATAATAATAATAATAATAATAATAATAATAATAATAATAATAATAATAATAATAATAATAATAATAATAATAATAATAATAATAATATTTAATTTTTTATTTTTGCAGACCTGTATCATACAGTTTTATTAATAAATTCCGTAATAGAGTAGAAAGAGCTTTTTTGTAGGTTTATTTTAACTTTTTTTAAAGATTCGTATGTTGCTTGTGATTTTAGTTCTTCAGGCAAAGCATTATAGATAGTAATACAGTTATATAAAGGAGACCTTCTGAAAGTCGTTGTCTGGTAGCTAGGAAGTCTTAAATTATCATTCCTTATGTGATGAGAATTAATTTGAGATTGTTTAATAAATTCAGAGAGGTACTTCCTTGTAAACGTAGTACATTTGAAAATATATATATACACACGGAAATGTTAAAATTGATTTCGTTTTAAAAATGTTTTTGCAACTTTCGATATTTTTTAGATTAAATATTAAACAAAGTATTCTTTTTTGGGACACAAACGCCCTATTACTCTCTGTGGCTTTTCCCCATGACATAACATTATAAGATAAATGAGAATAAGCGAATGGATAATAAAGATCAAGCGAGCCTTTTTCATCCAAATAGTCTATCATCTGAAATATGGCATAAAAAGTTTTATTCAGTTGTCCACATACATAGTCTATGTGATGTTCAAGGCTCATGTTTGAGTCCAACCATGTACCCAATAGCTTGGCATGCGTTCGGATTTTAAGAATTACTTGCATAAATAACCGTACTGTAAAGAAGAATATTTGTGCATATAAAATTACTTTAATGTAAACACGAAATTTTGATTTTTGCAGATGTAAGAAAAGTAAAGACAATAAATTCATTCTTTTGGAATCCTACGACATCAGAAACAAGAGAACGAATTAAATAAAGGCCTTAATGCATTATCGACAAGAGGGCATGCCTATTGTTTATTGTAATGAGACCCATTTATACAATACTCATACACATTCAAAAGTATTGAGTCATGGCAAAAACACTTTTAAAACTCCAATGAGCAAAGGTAGAAGATTAATAATATTGCATGCCGGGAGTAAGGATTGTTTTGTGCCAGACAGACTGTTAATATTTACTTCAGGTATTAATATTTTTTTAAAATTATATTCATTATTGTAATTAAACCCTTATTATAGTTACAATTAAATCATGAATTGGTTTACTTATGATAACGGCATTTTACTTAATAGCTCTTTACCTGTACTTAATCCTGCCTACAGGTAATTATTATAAGCTCATTAAAACAGATTATTCATAATGAGATTACAAATATTATAGTTTTAGCTTATTTAAATAATATTTTAATTGTATATAGAGAGTTATTTTTGTCTCAATATTAAGCATCTTATTATAAGTAAAGAATATGATTATACTAATTGTTTTTACTTTTTTGTCAGAGAAAAAACTGGAGATTACCATGACGTTATGAATTAGGACAATTTTTCACAATAGACTAGAAACCAGTTAAAACCAAATCTTCCTCCTACTTATAATAATGCCAGTTATCACAACGTGAAATTTAAAAAATCGATTACAAGCCAGACTTAAAAGGCAGATTTGATTAGCTGGCTCGTTCAACGTAGCATTCCCCATGATTCTAAAATGACAAAATCGGAACTTTGCAGACTCATCAAAGTTCACAGACCACCACCAACATTTCTTTTAGATAGCCTTCTACAAGAAAGTAGACACGACGTTCTGCGTTGCCTTCATACCATCATGAATTAAATTTCATAGAGAAAATATGGGCTCAAGTAAAAAACTGGGTGGGCTAACACAACACAACATTTAAATTAAATGATGCTGAGGATACGTATATTCATAAAGAACACTTAATGGATGGATATACAGAGTCCTTAATATTTAATGTAAATACGGACCCCACTCTGACGAGTGGGGTTCAGAGTTGTCGGATATTGAAAATTAAAATAGATAATCACAAATATATTATATAATAATATATTCATTATTAAGTAAAATTTTTAGTTGTTTTATTAATTTACAGTTTATTAAAAATTTTACCAACAATAGTTGAAATTCTGACTAATACTTTTTATTTACGAGTATTTCAAAATAAAAATATTTTATAAGTGTACATACGTCACTGCTAAAGAAAGCACTGGTTATCAGGTACCTCTACCGTAAGCGATTTTAGATCTAAGTCGTCAAATAAGCGCCTCCTGGCTGCGCGAATTTAGACATTTTGTTACGCAATATACTCTTCGGGTAGTAATCGAGCTCAATTTAAAAATCTGACTGCAAGCCACTCTACGTTCTCTTTTATAAAACGATAAAGATCTTTAAAATCACTGGTTCTGGTAAGGGAGGCTTGAACCGTTTTATTTTGTTCAATGCACATCTTCCACTAAGGGTCAGTCAAAATATTGATTCGACTTCGATAGAATCAGGTGTGTTGAACAGCGTGTGTATATAGATAAAATCCAAACAGGTTTTTGTGTATTTTATTAAAATATTAATAAAGTTAATTCTACGTTCGAGTAGCCAGGAAGTATAACTAAAAATCATAGAGAGTCTACGCTCCATGGTAGAGCCCTCAGGGGCAAGCGATCCTAATCTCTCCGAATACCCCACGATATATTCTAAACGACAGCGAAATAGATGGAGGCATACTGAGGAGCTTAGAAACATATCAATAATTCAAACTCCAGAGAAATGAAGGCCAAAAACAAAAGACAGACAACACTAAACGTGAGTAAAGCCACTATTTTAAGCCTAACAATTGAAAACACAAACACAGGGGTAAAAAGCCCAATACAGGGGAACCCTTGTTTAAAATTTCCCCGAAACGACCTCTAAATGACCCCCAAACACTTTTAGAGGAAGTTAACGGGGACTTAAACGACTCATCTAGCTCTGAGGACAGCCTGAACACCACCGTTATCCATAAGGAAAATATCCCACGTAAGGACGATTCACCACCGGGACAAAACAATGCTAATGACCCTAAGCATGATCATAATAAACAGTCCTAATCAGAATAAAATCAGCCTTAAATCACAACAGAAATTCAAGAGAATATTCGTCAAAGTATGCAGAACCTTGAAAAAGTAAGGAGAATATTCAAGAAAGCTTGGAGAACTCGCACAAAAACCACGATAATTCCTCTAATTCGACTCCATACTTAAGTCGCAGCGCAAGTGATGATAAATCTGAGGATTACATGGATGCCAACGACAGCACAATCACTCACTCGGCCGACAGTGAGATCAAATCCGCTGAAGGGGTTAACAACCCCTTTCCCCTGGGAAACCCTAAGATAAGTGGCAACTATGAATCACCAAGGAACACTAGCACCCCAACAGGGCTTAAGGATGGAAACCAAAGATTCCAATCAAAAAACGTGTTGGAATCCAAACACCCCACTAAGATTACCATTAAAAGGATAGAAATGCCACCAGAAACACGAGTTAGAACCCTAAATTTTGAACCTTGTAACGATTTGCACCCTACTCCAAATGTTAGTAGCAATACCAGAGCCATAACAAAAAATTTTCGACCATAAATAAAAAGTTTGGAGAAAAATCAAATTGACGAAATCACAGGGGTGAACTGAGTAGCCTTAATCTCGGTGAATCCTCACATCCTAAAGACGCCAACGTCAAAATAGTTGATAACAAAGAACACCAGATACATATCAACGCCGCAGACATACCCCCGACACTGCAAGAGTCAATAAACCGGTTTAACATGGGAGATTACACTTCAGAAGAAGAAGGGGGTGCCAGAGGCCCTAACTCTCTCGGAAATTGGTTACTACCTACCTGACCAAACAGTACTTTCTCAAAACTACCAAGTGACAACGTACAAAACATGGACACCGAGGAACACACGAGCCAAATAAATCAATTAACCTTCGACACACCAAGGAAATTCAGCTCGAACTTCCAAAGACTGATCAGAGAGAAGTCTAAACAAACACTGACCACCACTAGCAACAGATACAAAGCCATAACAGACGACTCAGACTCCGAACTTGACGGCGATATTGGGAAAATCGTCAAAAGAAAGCTGAAAAACATCCCAAATAATAAAATTCTAGAAGAAAAAACAGCTGAGAAAATAACTACTGCCGTAACAGCCCCCAAACTTATTAAAAACAATCCCACTGTTAAAACTACAATAGTAACTAATAATAAAAAAGGCTCGATGCCCCCTTGTGGTTGATGGCAACACAGTGAACCAAACCACACTGATACAGGCCCTCAAAACCAAAATTAAAGGAGGGTTTAGTGTTAAACACACTAATAACTCCACTATCCTATTTGTGGACGAAAAGGAGGAACACGAACGAATTCTACAGAGTGTCAGGGACGAAAATATCGCACATCACACGTATACAAACAACGATGATAAATCGCATGCGTTTGTATTGAGAGGACTAGCAGACGGAACCAAACCCCAAGACATAGAGGAGGACTTAGACGCCGATATGAAAAAAAAAAAATCAGAATCGTATTCAAGATGAATACCAGAAACAGACCGTTATTCCTTGTTGTCACGGACCCTACATTGACACTGGATTATCTAAACAAAAATGGTAGAAGAGTCCTATATACTCTTGTTTTATGGGAACTTAGAAAGTCCACGAAGCAGATAATCCAGTGTCACAACTGTCAACTCTGGGGACACACTATCACCAACTGTGGGAGGCCACCCTGCTGCCTCAAATGTGCTGGAGATCATTTAACCCGCACATGTGCAAAAAGTCGAGATACAGCTGCCACCTGCGCAAATTGCGGACAAGACCACCCAGCAAATTACAGCAAATGCAGATATTACACAGAACGGCTCGATAGACTTCAAGAGAAAAGAAATAAAGCCACGAAACCGAAGTACATCCCTGCACCGGCCCCTACAGCAAATGTATGGGACCGCCAGTGACCCAGACCTGCAATAAGAGAGGAATTCCCTGCCCTGCTAGGCGCAAACACTAACAACAACGTAGAACATCAAGCTCCCATCAGAGAGAATCGCCCACCAGCAAGCCACACCGCAAGCAACCGACCATCGCAGATGAACGACATACTAGCCCTTAATACTGAATTTCAAAAACTAGGTAAAATGGTTAATATTGGCGAGCTTATTAGAGCCGTGCGTGAACTAAACACTAGATTAATTGACTGTCAGACAAACGCTGAATTCTTCACGACCTATTATGACTTCGTTTCAGAATTAGACAATTACAATTTCAGGAAGTGAACTCCTCGGCGGCAAATCAGACTCGCTTAGAATCTGTTTTTACAATGTAAACCGGATGCTTAATAAGAAACCGATGGTAAGCAGTTTCAATCACAAACATAGGTTTGCTATTATACTAATTTCAGAGACACGCCTTAAATCCGCCCACAAACTAAAAATCAAAGAATATCATGTAATTCGACAGGACAAACTGACTTCTAGAGGTGGGGGGATAGCTATCATAGTTAAAATCACACTGAAATTCGAGCAAATTCCTAACCTTGACGTGTCATTTGAACAGATTATTAAAATTCATACCATACTAATAGTAGGTGCGTATAACCATCCTCATAATAATTTAACGGCGGTTGAATCACATTCGATAATGACAAGAAGTAAAATAGTCCTTCTGTTGGGTGATCTTAATGCTAAACATCCTGACTGGGAGTCAAATTGCTCTCGACCCAACCCCAGCGGAAGAATTTTGGACGGGTTCGCCGACACCCATGACTACATAATAGATTACACTGACAAACCAACACACTACCCCTTTATCGGCACGACACCGAGTACACTCGACATAGCCGTGGCCAAAAATCTACCCAACATACAGAACATCACAACAATCAAAACGTTGACTTTGGACTACGACCCTGTGTATCTAGAACTGAAAACTAACCACAAAATACTAAGATCACAGGGTAAATATATAGACTACAAAAACACGAACTGGAACCTTTACAGACAAACACTTGACAACAACATTGAGATAAATAATAACATTACAGACACAAATACATTAGACTACGAAATACAAAAAATAATGTCAACCATCATTACAGCAAGGGATACCTCAACAAAGACAAAAATATACGGAAAGTATCACGACATTCTCCTACAAAATATTCTTGACTTGATTACCAAAAAAAAACCACTAACGAAGACGCTGACAACAACATAGACAAGACAAAAACAGGGTTCGACTCCACGCCATCGGGAAACATATTAACTAACTTATAATAGAACATCGAAATCTTAAATGGAGAAAAACCCTAGAAGCAATTAACCCACAGGACAACTCAGTGTGGTAAATAGCGAAGAGCTTTACCAAGCCTTTTTCGCAACTTTCCACACTGAAGTACGACGACAAAGTGTGCTCGACGGACAAAGAAAAGGGTGAAGTTTTCGGCGAACTCTTCCAAAAAATATTCGACAGCAGTATCATAAATAGTCAAGAACAACAAGACATTGAAAACACTGTAAATGACATCAAAAATATGAACAGGGATGCAGTACCTGCAAAAATTTTCACTTCACTTCAAGAAATCAGAGATGTGGTAAAGAGATTTCATAACAGAAGAGCTCCTGGACCTGATTGCATAAGCAACAATTTAATTAAAAATTTTTCGAGTTAAGCTTATGTGCAGATGCACTATATTACAAACGCGGTTCTTAAACCCCAACACTATCCTTCAGAACTTAAAGTAGCTAATGTAACACCGATCTTAAAACAAGGCAAAAATGCTAGAGCAGTAGAAATCTATCGCCCTTACTTAACGGCATAGCCAAAATAATCGACCCAATAACACTAAAAAGACTACATACACACGAAATAGAAAACCCGAATATACCGTCAGAGCAATACGGGTTCAGGGCTGGTCACAGCACAGTTGCACAGGTTATAAGAATAGCAAATCACGCTAAAAAAGCGTTCAATAACAATCAGCAGACTGTGCTGGTGGCATTCGATGCTGCAATAGCCTTCGACACGGTTTGGACTGACGGTTTAATCTATAAAATATTTGTGAAGGATTACCCTGCATACATTGTGAAAACAATTTTAGGCTACTTACAAAACAGAATATTTAACATTAAAGTAAACGATACCGTAAGAGGACCATACACCGCTAAAGCGGGAGTACCTCAAGGCTCCGTACTCTCGCCCCACCCGTATATGATGACCCATGACATTCCCATGAGACTTAATGGTATACAGACAGCGCTGTACGCCGATGACACTTGTATCTAGAAATCATCTGCATCAGCAGAAATAGCCATGAGAAGGCTGGAAATCCACACGAATAGAACATAAGTTCCTTTTCTGGACAAAAATAAAATTAAAATAAACCCTCAGAAAACTGAAACAGTATTATTAACAAAAATGAGATGAAACAGAATAATAACTGAATTAAAAGTCCAACAAAATAAAATTTCACGTTAAATACCTCGGCATTGTACTAGATAAGGGGCTAACGTTCAGAAATCACATCGAAGAACGAGCTAACAAAGCTACGGCTATGTTGCGAATTATCTACCCAATGCTGCATAGACGTAGTGGAGTTACTTGTGAAAACAAATAACTGTTGTATAAACAAATCATTAGGCCTATACTAACGTACTGACATCCAGTTTTCTGCTCAATAGCGGATAGCTACTTACAGAAACTCCAACGAATCCAAAATAAGTGTCTTCGGCTGGCCCTGGGGTACTACCGCTATGCCAGAATAACGGACATGCACCACGAAACATCCATGCCTACTGTCAAAGACTACATTACTACTATTGCGGAGAAATTTTTCAAATACAGTCTTCCGAATGACGTCAAAGAAGACATATTAGCTCAATACAGCGGAAATGTCGGAGACAGGAGGGCATGGATGCTTACACGAGAAGCCGGACCTATACAGACGGGACAATTAACAAGGACATACTCAGCAACACCCATCTCACTGCGACAAATCCACTAAATAACTATTTTACCAGGACAAGTACTGACAATACTAGTTCGACGAAGGATTGCACGATGACGTCACTCGCCAGTGCGGAGATCGAGGCTTGCAGCGATCCCCGTTTTGGCGATGGATTTTACCATCCAGTCGAGTAAAATAGTTATACACAGACAGACTAGGTATACAAAATGACACACATACAGACAAGGACAACTCTGGTTTTTCAAAGTTTTTCCCAGGGAAGACATTCACAAGTAAATTCCCACAAAAACTAATATTAAACTCAACTACCGATCACAAACTCGCCAATATTGCCATATAATATCGTATGATAAGGAGATGGCGCGTAAATATTCATAAATTATAAATTGGGTAATGGTATTACGCGCTAGGGCATTGCGCTCAAGCAGCCGGACATCCGAAAATGCTTCAACTCGTAGTTCGCGAGTGTGAAATATATTTTGTATTTCATATCATATCTAATTACCATTGTACATAGCTAATGTAAATAAAGAGATTGTTAAAGAAGAAGGGTCAGTCTACAACTGACCACACACAGTATTTTTAGAGGATATGCTTTTTAATTAGAGTAAAGGGTAAACATTAGGAATACCCATTTGCTTTTGTGTAAAGTGTATCATTTAGCTTTAAAGGATATATGCTTACACTCGAAAAGTATAAGGTTTTTATTCGAATATTATGAACAGAAACTAAAGAACTACATGTTTAACAGTATCCTTTATTTTATGAATTCGGCTCATTATTAAATCTTAAGCCTTTGTAAAACTTTAACTTTTTCGTATGGGGCTCTCGGATTACAAATATGCTATTGGACTCATGTCTAGATGTAAATGAAGAATTAAAATATGTTTTACAGCCTTTAAACGTATTTATATTGAATAATACTCGTATATACAACAATTAGAGTCGGAATTAATCAGGAAACGAATAAATAGGTGATTGTGATAATGCGAGGCAACCCTCTGCTCCGAGAAATCACAATAAATCACTAACAGATAGTAAGTATATCACGACAAGTTGGGACGCTATCAGCTTTCTGTCGAACACTAGCCCCCAAATGGATTACCTCAGTATCTCTTTGAATGCCATTGCAATCTATTAAATGACATACGCATATTTGATTAGCTAATTAATCGCCCTGTAGGTTCACTTCGCTTCATTTGTGATAATAAATAATGTCAAATTATTGAATTATATTTAGAGATTCAAGTCTGTGAACTGTCAAACTGATTAATGATAACGAAAATAGATATTTGGTGATTAAGAACAAGAAAATAATAAAAAAATAACTTACGTTGTAATAATTTAGAAAAATATATACCCTTTAGGAAATAAAATAATGAAATGTTAATATGTTCATTTGATTCATTTCTAAAATAATCGCTAAATCTTAGTCCATCTATCTTAGATTCTTATTCCTTTTTATCATCTAGGCATTCAGCTTCCTATTCTTTACTTTCATGTAAATCTTTTTTCTAATGGACATGATATTCGCAATTATTTATTATTTTTTTCAAATTTTACAAGTATAATAAAA